CGTCCCGGTGGCAGCCGTGCCCCGTCCCCCACCGCTGGGCATTCACTGGCTCCCTGCCCCAGCAGTGCTACTCTCTCAGCGGCCCCAAGAGCAGACAGCACCCAAAGTTGTTTATATTTATTCAAATCCCGTTTAGCATCCATCAGGCTTAAAAATCCCACGACTACTCTCTTATACAATTTTGCTTGATAGGAAAATAACTAATTTTGCAATTAAGCTGTGCCCAGAACAAATGATGTAAGAGCACTCCGTATGGGCTAAATTAGTGCCTGCTGAGACACAGCGCCAATGTCTGTCTGGTTTAGTGACGCTTATTTTTAAGGAGCCAGAGGAGGGGATAGTGCACCCTCCTGTGATTTTACTGACAGCTTTGTCTCAGCTGGAGACCCAGAGAGGGCTCGGCAGTGTCAGCTGGAGCACGCTTCGCTTGGTCGGCAGGGAATAACAAGCTTACTATGATGCCTCTTCTCCCTTTTAGGGAGGTTGTTTTAAACTTGAGCTTGCTGGCCAGGTGGGCATTGCTTATGTCTGGAGTGGTGTGGGAAGCTCTGGAGAAAGGAACGCTGCTCCCAAGAGCGTGAGTGAGGCACTTCAGCCATGGAGACCAACATTTCAGTAGGGGGCCTCTTCCTCCTAAACGCTAGAGCAAGGATTTCCACCAGCCCTGCGAAGTGCCAGAGGACTTTGGCAGGGAAGGGTCCTGCCCCATCCTTCCAGTGGTGTTACTGCCCTACGGGGTTTTAACTTACTCCAGACAGCGTGCTCGGCTTCTGGAGAAGGGTGATTTTTATGGTTAGCAAACACAAGTTACTGTGGATTTCTGACTGCTGTGACAGCTGCTTGGTTTTCTGTAAGGAGCCCGTAGCAGCCAGTGCAACGAGGTGATACATGGGAGAAGCTCTGTTTTCCCTCAGTGAGGAGCAGTCTGCAGGTCTGGGGTGGAAACCCCCCTGCTGATAGGAGGGGATCTGCATGGGTTGAGGGGAGCACCGGGGGTACCCCACGTTCCCAGCTGCAGAGGGTGGTTCTGGCTTTGCCACCTGTGCCCCCAGGAAGGCTGTCAGCACGGCACTGGAGCAGGTTCGCCTCGAGGGTGGGTGTTTTTTGGGGGGGAACTCCACAGAAGGAAGTGTGTTGATATCTGTGATGCTTATTTTTCCCTGTGGGAAAAGAGAGACTATGTATTGTCTATTGTAGTCACTTGTTAACTATGTAATTACTGGTTCTGGTTAATCTTGACTGTTGCATTTCCTCAGGGACCAGATGTCAAAGACAGCTTCATAAAAATCTGACAGCTAAAGTTTCCTTGAAACTTTGGTAAAATGCTGTCAGGAGGCCAGCAGGACCTTCCTTAAGCCTGTATCCGATCTGTATAGCCTTGGCTATTGCTCTTAGCTTTATGGGAGAAACAAGCCTTGTCTGCTGTTCTTCTGATCTTTGCAGGGTGACAAGTATACAGAAAATGCTATGTTTTCTCTGGGTCAGGCGAGAAGCCTCTGTGGCACGAGCTTGCGAGAGCTGATGTGGGCAGCAGAAAGTTCCCTAGTCCTTGCCTAGCTTCCAGCCATTGATGCTGCACACCTGTGAAGGGCAATTACACCTTGAGCTGAGGTGGGTGTGCTTCATTTGTATCAAAGTTTATGTTTTAAATAACTTCATTGGGTAGATGGTGCTCGAGTTCTACTGCTCCATCAGTGACATGGAGTAGCTCTTCTTCCTACACGATGAATACGAAGATTTAACAAAGGAGGTGGCTAGGAAGGTGGGAAGTAAGAAATAAGGTGACCAGCAATAGCCAAGGATTACTGAAAGAGTCCAAGACCCTTATGCAAACCCCAGGGGAGAACAAGGAGGTCTACGAAAAGGCAGACTCACCACCCAATCTTTCCTCTCCTGTTGCTCCCCGAGCTCCCACCTGAAGGGCAGCCAAATTGCCCTGGTAAGAGAGAGAAATTTCCATGTCAAAGAGAAGGCACGAAACTGCTGCCAGGGTTTAATCTTAGGAATTAGCCCTCAGGTGGCTGTGTGGGAGACCTCTCTAGTGGGCGCAGAGCACCAGTGCCGCAGAGCCACTCAGCTCGGTGCCTGCATGCCACGGCTCAGTGCGAGAGCTGGGCTTTCCCTTGCAGCATGCACGCAGCACCAGAGGAGAGCATCCCATGCTCCTCAGTACCTTTGCAGGTGTTGGTGGGGCGCCAGCAAAGCCTAGGTCCGAACATGTCTCTGGAGACCATCCTTGAGGTGCTGAGAAAATGCTCCAGCCAGCAACAAAGCAGCCTCAGTCACCTGGAAATTTTAATCCTCACCTGCGAATCAATTTGGGTAAATTATCTGTTGACATGCTGACCTTCATATCCTCTTGTCCCTCAACTCTGCTGTGATGCCCTCAGCTGCCATCCTTTCCAGAATGAGGAGGAAAAAATCTATCTTTTGGAAAACAAAAAGAAAATATAGTTTAAGTAATACAGTCCAAAATGGAGCTATATTCAAGTGTGTACCTGACTTTGTAGGACCAAGCTGACACTTTGGAGTTACATGGCTAGTAAAGAGGAAAACAGTGCTGCCACTCCATGGTGGAGCCCATGGCTTTGCCTGGTTCTTGTCTGCTCTTTTGGCATCCTTGCATCACTGCCTGTGGTGCCTGGAAATGATGTTGTCTCTCTTCCTCTCGTGGTTACTCACAGACTTTGCAGGAAAGCTGTAGGCTGTGTGGAAGGTTAGACTTCTCTCTCCCATAGGTGTGTTAGGAGATTTGGGAAGAGGACATGTTAGCTTGCTTAGCAGTGAACATCTCCCTGAGGGGCAGAAACGTCTGCAGCAGCTGCACTGCACTTGTTCATGAGGCTCAGGACCAAGAAAGCCATTGAGCAGATGGCTGGGGTCTGTCTAGGTCTTGCTCCCTGCTTTATCGCTGTCTCCTGTGCGGGGAAAGCAGTGGGGAAAGCTCCTGAAGTGATCCAAGTTTAATAAGAGATGAGCGTGGTGCATTTTAGCTACAGAAGGCTTTTCTTTCAAGCCTGCTTTGATTCTCAGCAGCGGCAGAAAGGCCGGCGTGAAAACCCGGCTCCCGCAGCACACCGGGCGCCCCGAGTGTGCCGGCCCGCGGGAGCACCCCGGGGGGGGATGGGGGACAGCAGGGCTTCACCAGGCAGCATTGCAGCTGAGCTGGGGCACCTGAAACCAGGTCCCAAGCGACGTTTCAAGCCTGGCTGTCCCTGGGTCAGTCCTGGACTACTGGCCCAGCTCTCGTATGACCCGCAACCGATCAGTGGAGTAATCCTAAAGAAGCATCTGGGTGTACAGCAGTAGCTGGGTACGGTGACCTGTTTGTTTACAGGGCAAGCTCTGCGAGCACTCGGTGACGTGGTTACGCCACTGCTTTTTAGCTTGGGTCTGGGGGGAGTTTTGCTCTTTTTCCCCCCACTTATTTTGTTGCCTTTTTCTTCACCTTGTACCTGTTGTGATGGGACCCTGATTCAGCCTGAGGAGACAGGACATGCAGAGGGTTATGGTGCTCGTTTGCAGGGGAGGAGAGGTGGACCTATTTCCTTGCTTACCGCTGCTGTAGGACACAGGTAAGCAGATTTCTGCCTCTCTTCCACCTCTGCAGGCAGGGACGTTTTCCTTCCTTGTGGTGTGGTCAGGATGAAGACCCTGGAGGATGGGAGATGTGGTACTGGGCTCCACCATGTCTTGATGCAATGCTGGAAAGGCTGGCAATTTGGTGTGATGGGCTCTAGGTGCACCCTTTGCTCTGAGGGGTCCCCAGCACCCTGGGAGACGGTGTGCACCATCCTGCAAAAGTCCTGTTGCTTCCTGCCTGCACTGAGCCATTGACCTTCCACGTGGTGCAGATGGGCCACGGAAAGTTCAAGAGGACTGTTGAAAAACCTTTGCTTATTCGTGTATTTCACCATCTGCCTTCACTTGTTGCAGCTCCTCAGGCCCACGTGTGCTGAGCTCTGCCTAGATCAGCACCTCCAGGTGCTGGATCCCAGTCTGGGTGCAAAATGTATTCATCATCCTCCTGGATGTTTTACTGAGTTTCTGGGCTGGTGAAAACCTCATGGCTTTGAGTTCCACCAATGCATTAGGCACCACGGTCTTTCGGTTACTGTTGTTACTGTGGTCAAGCCCTGTGCTTGGGCTTGCCCAAGCACCCAGGCAACAGCGAGCCAAACCCAGCAGTGCAATGCTTTTGTCTTGCTTTAATTGGAGTAGGACACAATTACTATCGACATGTTTTTATTTTCACTTATTCACTCTGACAGCAACCAAAGGAAGCCATTGTCTCTACAAGATGATGTTTCAGCAGGTAATAGGACCAGTGTGAAAGAGAGTATCACATTCTCTTACAGGTGGCAATCGATTATCAGGCTGTTACAAGCCAAGATCCTTTCAAGAGGCACGATAGCGAGTCCGTCCTCAGATCAGCCTTTATTCTTGGAAGATGACCGAGCTCTTTATAGGCTGATACATTTAGCACAGTCTAACTGCCCCATAACACAGGCATCCCTGTAAAGACATATGGCAGTTCTTTCAGTGCCTTTGGAGATGAAGAAAGTAAGTTGGATGGCACCCACCTACCCCTCTTAGGCAGTAAGCTTCTGTACAGATCAGGCTGAAGATGGAAGGTCAGGTCCAGGTTTGACCTTGGATAATGTTTCCCAACCTTGCTCGCTCCATGAACAGCAGCAACCCTGAGCACACAACATGCTCTTGGAAACTGTGTGCCCCTCTGGTCCCCTTAGCCTGGGACAGGAGCCTCAGTTTTCACTTTTCTGCAGCCCTTGGCTGCAAGCAACACTGTTCTAAGAGGCAAATTGTCACTGAAGACCTTCTCTTCAGGCTGGCAAATAAAGTACTTAAGAAATGTGATGTTTGTTAAAACAGCAAAATATCTTCTAAAAGTGTTCTTGTGCAACAGTGGAGAAAAATGATAAGAGACATGTATACTGCAGGGTATTCATTCTGGAGATCTCCAGCGTTTCCTATTCTCCTCATTTTAGTGTAAGTCTTTTGATCTTTGCTGTTTGCCCCAAAGCTTTGGGCATTAGGTGAGCTTCTCAACTTTATTTTATAATAAAAATGTAGAAGTTTCTAGCCCTCAGGGATTTGCAGAAAAGTTTGAAAATGTGATCATAAAGTTTAAGAAACCAGAGTGCAATTAGGAAAAGCTCAAACATTTATAAATTTCTTTAAAAACCAGAACAAAAACCCTTGTGATTTTTAAGCCATGATTCTCTGGAGCCTGATGCATAATTTTGGAGTATGTGGGGTTGGCAGTGCTGAAAAGGATGCTTTTCTCTGCCCAGATCATGTTTTTCTGATGGGAATTTTACTTACCGACTACTTTAACCACTTCTGCCCCTCTTTCCTGGCTGCGACTGAAGACCCGGCTCCGTCTCTGGGGGCCTGGAAGGGCAGTTGGAGGTAGTGGTGGCAGCCAGGATCACACCAGCAGCAGATGCCGGGCTGCCCTGCGTGGGTACGTCTGCCGCTGTGCTTCAGACCCACCAGGCAGCAAAACCTCTCCGAGGTCTTGAAGCCTGCTGTCGTGGCGGGGAAGGCTCTGGGGAGCTCACCAGGGGCAGCAGCATCCCTTGTCCCCCACTGAGCCACAGCCAGGGCTTTGCTTGGAGGATTGTCTCCAGCCTGCGAAACTTGCTGGAGGGATGGATGCAAACTCCCCCGAGAGCTCATGAAGGGAAGGGGATCTTTCCTTCAGAGGCTTGGTTTGCATGGCATGGTGGCTCCTGCGAGCGGGGCCTCCAGCGTGACCTTGCTTTCAGTGGGGCATGGAAAGGCATGGTGCCTACCCAAAAATCCCACAGGGATTTGGCGACAACGCTGGTCTCTTCCCTCTGCTTCTTCCACCCTGGGCAGCCCTCCCTTGGGTACTGCTCTTTTATATTTTTAGAAAGCGCAGTTCATGTTTTTCAGCGCGAGCTTTGCACGTCAGCAGCCCCAGCACAATGAACTCTCGGGGGCCTGTTTATTGTGCAAGCAAGGGTCGTACCCTGCGACAATGTTTTCTGCCACGTTGTCATGCGCACCCTGGGCTCTTGCTGCTTCAAAATGGCAGCCTATTGTTCGGTGTCCCGAGCCCTGCTTGAAACCAGGTCCCCCTGGCACCCATTTGAATGGCTCCTAGCTGTGCTCTGTTTACCCCCCAGTGCTTTCAGAGGGAGTGGGGAAGGGCTCGTTCCTTTTTTCAGGGACCTGTGCAGCAACATGCTGCAAGCAGCCCCTTTCTCTGCCTCCCTCCCAAATTTTTGGGGTAGTCCTAGTTTAATCCAGAGACAGTCCCTTGCAGAACTGGAGGGTTTCGGGGCTGGCCATGCTCTCTATGCCAGGCTTTGTGCTGCAGGGACACAGCCCAGCACAGCCTCTGCATAATGATGCCTGTGGTATGGAAATGATGTTTTGGCCTGCTCAATCAAAGATGTTTTGAATTATAAAAAATAAAATATCGGCCCTCTGGATAGAGGAGGGCAACGATGACCAGGGCTTTGCTGGGGACTCTGACAACGCTCTTTAGCAATGACTTTGCTCCGCCTCGCCCTGGCCCCACTGCGCACATGCATATTAATACCACGTACCCATCATTTCCCACAAAACCAGCTTATTACAAGAAGATTGTTTCTCCACCCTCCTTGTGTAAGTACCTGTGAGTTGTGTGGCCACTGTGGAACACCGTTGGCTAAACCGTGCCATCTCCAGCTACACTTTCAGGGCTTTCAGTGTTTTCACATTTTCCTAGCTGGGCTGAGCACCCTTCCAAACCGTCAGCCTGACGCCATCCATGCTGATTTATGTTCCCTGAGAAATGCAATTGTAACTATTTCCACTAAGAGAGTCCTCAAAACTATAAATGGCTCCAAAGTTGTGAAGAATCCCCGAGTCTTGAACTGCATTGCCCCGGGCTCCCTAAAAACTGCCACTACATTTTCCTGAATTTGGCTGTATCCGATGCTTCAGCTAGAACGGTATTTTTGCTTCCAGCACGTGCACGCATGCAGAGCCCACCATCTGCTTACCCTGGCGTGGTGCCCACGCTTTCAGACTCCACCAGGTCTCCTTTCTCCTGCTAAGGCTACTCCCCAGGTAAGTGCCTCTTCTGGCTGTCCTGCTCCTTCCTATGTTTGCTCACGGACTTTGAAAATAAGCTCTCCAGAGCCCAGGATACAATTGGTGTTTATTTTGGGCTTGTTCAGTGTTTTGCTAGCAAAGAGGGCACAATTCTTGCACGGTTCTTAGGACAATGCACTTTATTTCAGACACAGGCAAACCCTAGCTCGCACTTAGCCTGTGCAAGCTGC